CATATCCTTCATATTGGAGGTCGATTTTTTACGCACATCCGGCACAAATCTTAATTTCCAGAATTCTACGTTTCAGGTGCACATGGACCCTGTAGAAGAATAAGAAGGGCCTCTGCCGGAATTGGGCTTAGACCATCTGAAGCTTGAAGAGAAAGAGAAGATTGAAAAGTTGGTAAGAAATTTTAATTCTTTGTTTAATGACAAACCTGGCTTTTGTCAGGTAGTGAATCATGCTATCGATACTGGAAATGCCCCTCCAGTCCTGTCAAAACCTTACCGGTATGATAAAATAAAGAAACAAATTATCAAAAAACATATTGAAAAGATGCTAGAAAACAAAATTATTATGCCAAGCACTAGCCCTTATGCAAGTCCGGTGGTCCTTTGTAGAAAGAAGACTGGGCTACCGCCTGAACATCCGGACGCATATAGGTTTGCAGTTGATTATTGCAAACTTAACAGTAGAACAAAATATCCCATGTATCCCCTAACAATAACAGATGAAATAATTAGAAAAATTCGGTCAACAAAGTTTATAACAACTTTAGACTTAACTTCAGATTACTTCCAAATCGCCGTAAAAGAAGATGTCCAAAAGACCGCATTTATTACAAAATCAGGCGTCTATGCCTTTTTAAGAATGCCATTTGGTTTAAGCGGAGCACCAGCTACTTTTCAAAAAGCAATGGACAAAGTCTTAAGGCCAGTTTTAGGCAAAGTACAATTATTTATCTTGATGGCATAACAGTTACTAGTGAAACATTAGAGGAACATTTGGAAGAAGATTTTGCCTTACTTAAAGAGGCCGGCTTCAAAATAAATGCAAGAAAATGCAAGTTCGCGGCAAAGGAATTGTGATACCTTGGATACAAAATTTCTAATAAGGGCATAGAGACTGATGACTGAAAAATAAAATCAATTAAAAGTTATCCTACCCCAAATACGGCTAAAAAATTGTCTTCATTTTTGGGCTTATGTTCCTATTAAAGAATGTTTATAAAGGATTTTGCAAAAATAGTTGAGCCTCTTGTAGTGCTAAAAAAAAAAGAAAAGTAGATTTTCTTGGACAGACGAGGTGAAGACCGCTTTTGAACAACTAAAGAATGCCTTAATTAATGCCCCAGTCCTTAAATTCCCAGAAGGCGAACAAGGTCTAGAGATTTCAGCAGATGCATCCGATTATGCAGTTGGAGTGGTGCTTTCCCAGAATGGACAACCTATAGCCTTCTTTTCGAAAACTTTGAATTCTACCCAGAGAAGCTATTCAGCCACACAGCGAGAAGCGCTCGCTGCCTTATTAGCGGTTCAGAAGTTTCGTGTCTATTTCGGAAGTTCACTGATAACAGTCTACTCAGATCATGCGGCAGTGGGTCACTTGTATTCAGGAAAAAATTTATCGCCTCGCCTGATACTGTGTACTTTAAAATTACAGAAATTCAATTTAATTATAAAACCCACGCCTGGAAAAGAAAATGTAGTTGCCGATGCCCTTTCAAGAATAAAAATTGATGCAGAGGGAAACACAATTAAGTGTGCTATGCTCACCTCAAGAGTTGTTGAGTCTCGTGATATAATAGTTGTAGAATTGAGAAAGGACCCAGAATTTAAAGATATTTATGCATACCTGGAAGACCCTGAAAAGTTTGAGCATATAGATTTAACGGCTATTCGCAATAGGGCGCAGCATTACGAAATAATAGACAAAACAAATGGTAATCAGAAATACCGACCAGTGATCCCAGCGAGTCTACGTTTAAGTATCTTAGGAGTTGCAGGATCTACGGTCTGCTGGACATTTTGGAATACGAAAAACACTACAGAGCGGTTTATTTTCCGCAGTTTTTTGTTACGGCGTATGTTAAGTCGTGCCATATGTGCCAGTTAATAAACGATGTTAATTACAGCCCCGTCGGATATTTAAAAAACTTAAAAACCACTTTCCCACATGAAATAGTTGTCATAGATTTGCTTGGACCCTACCCTGACAAAAATTAATAAAAATATATATTTATCAACAATTGTTGACCCTTTTTCAAAATGGGTAGAAATAGTACCTCTTAAACAAGCTTCAGCTAAAATAGTCGCAGATTCTTTCTTAAATAAATATATATTAAAATACGGGGCCCCACTAAAAGTAATATCAGATAACGGAAAACAGTTTGTTAGTAGTATATTTAAAAATTTGTGCACAGGACTTGGCATATGCCATCTAAAAATGGTACCATATAGACCGCAGTCGAATATAGCGGAACGCATAAATAAGAATATTGTAAAAATTATGAGGGGATATGTGAAAAATTTTTATGACCCCTGGGACAGCTGTGTCAATGAGTTAGGTTTTGCCTTGAGAACAGCAAAGCATGATACTATGCAGAAGACCCCCGCGGAGTTATTTTTAGGAAGAAAAATCATAACGCCTTTGGATAAGCTGTTCTTTGTACAGCAGAGACAATAAGAATTCAAGTTAAAAGGTATTCAGAAAATTATAGATGAAGCAGTTCATAATTCGGATGTAGCAAGGGAAGAACAGAAATTATATTACAATAGAAATAGAAGACAGTTGGAGTATAAAGTAGGACAGAAAGTCTTAAAATTAAAACATTCTTTATCATCTGCACCCGAAAACAGAGTTGTGAAGTTTGAGCCCAGGTTCGAAGGACCTTACATGTTCGAAAGAATAAGGGAAGCCACGTTTTATTTAAAGGCCGAAAATGGCCAACAACTGGTTGCAAATATCGATCAGTTAAAGCCTTATTACAGCTTCACTGACTTTAAAATATTGCAGGATTTATTACATGATTCTGGAAGGGAGAATAAAAGCCCGCCAGTTTAAAAGCACAGCTGGAGTCCCCCAACACAAAAAAGGAAGCAGATCGAGCAATCTTCGACCAGGCGGATCCAATCCGGTAATGCTACAGGCGCACAAAAACAGAGGATGTTAGCAACGATGGATCAACAAGCCAGAACCGAGGATTCAGTGAAAACATCAGTACCACCGACTAGGAGAGTGAGGCCTGCTGACAAGGTTCCAGGCAAGGAGAAATTTCAATGACGGGTGTAAGCTACGAGACGTAAATCACAGTTTCCAGCGGCAAAACAACAAGGGAGGCCCAAGGAGGTCCAGGATGGAGAACGAAAAGCGAGAAAAGACCTGCAAAGACAGTCATGCCAATCAAGAAGTTAGAAGGTGCAAGCAAAGTTTCAAAGACCTTGAAGGACGGATAGCCCCACCGGACCTAAAAAGAAGATTGACATTCCAAAACCCGCAGCCCTCCCGCAAGAGTCCCAGATGCGTAGACAAGGGGCAGAAGAAGAGGAATGACTGGAATGGCACAGAGTGTCAAACGGCGAGAAGAAGGTTGGAGATGATGAAGAAGGACCCGACGTTTGAACAGTTTTGCCACATCAGAATGCAGGAATACAGAAAAGATAACTAAAAATTTCCTTGCTTATTTTACTTTAAAAACACATTTCAATTTATATCATCTTTTTCTAAGTTGCTAAAGATGTTTAGAAACGTTAAATTGCAGATAGCGAGAACTTGATGGTAAATGTTCGTAATCATAGATTTTTATGTTAGCAATTTGGTGAGAAGCTAGTAGCATTAAATACTTTTGTTAAGAACTTGCGAGAAATAAAATGTGAATAAGTTTAGTCGGAAGACTCTTAGAATACTGAAATCTGTTAACGTAAAGTTAAGATTTCGTGTAAAGATGGTAAATTGTAATTAAGCAACTATGACTGTTGATGTAAAGTGAATTCAAAAGTGATGTGTAAATATTTAAATGTTCATCTTAAAGTACAAATGTTTCATCGTTGTGTTGAAATATCGTAAAGTTAAACTTGTACAAAAGATAAATTTTGGCCTCTGTGTATTTTAATTGTGAAAGAATTGAATGTTTAGAATATATGTGTGTTTAATGTTAGGCTCTCCAGTTAACACTTTTAAAAGTAAATATAAGCTTTCGCTTACTATATTAGGAAAGTATTTTCGTGTAGGGAGTCTAGTAAGGTCTAGAGTGTCTATTATAACCAAATTAGATGTTGTGTAGCGGTAGTTTTGTTCACGGTAACACAACATAAAATACCTTAAGTACATTTCAGTACATTTGCTAGAGAGTATGGGGGAAACAAAACTTTAGTATGAATGAAAGTGTATGAGGGCCAAATGAGGAAATAAAAGCGTAATTGTAGGAGTTATGAAAAATCTTTGTAAAATTCCTTACTAATGTTGTTTCCTTCCCGATATGGAAGGATCAAGAGCTGACTTAATAGTAACTGAATAAAGTTTCCATTCAGAGAAGATGGATGTGTGTCCAACACAGAGGAATTTTTGGTAAAATTTTATAAAATTTTTCTAGCTTTAGTCTAACTTTAGAATTGTAAAGTTGGCCCTAAAAACAGAACTTTAAAGTGAATTTAGTTAATTCAAAAGTTAGAAGTGTGTGGTTAACATAAGAAGTTTTTCAGACTTTAAAGTCTTAAACAAGATCGTTTTGGGACCTTATTTTTCGAGTATTTAAAGTCTAGTCGGAAGTTATGTAAGCCATTATGTTAATTTTATTAACAGTTAAATTTTAAGATAAACATTTTTCCTGTCAAATTCTTAACTTCAACTTACTACTTCCGGCCAGAACATAGTTTTGGAATCACTCTGAATACTTAATGAGGGTTTTATTGTACACTCCAAGATGATGGAGTTTTGTTAAATCTTATTGGAATAATAAAGGCTTAGTTACCCTTCCTTCTTGTTGCTTCTTGTCACACGAACTTAAGCGATTATTTGCTAACTAGTACTTAAGTTTCGTCACTTTCTACAGTAACTGAGAAGTACACTAGTGAGAATCTTACAGATTAATTAATCTTAGAATTCCCTTCAAATATATACTTATGCATTTGAACTGCAGAAAATAATATTTGTAAATTCTAGCATTAAATTTAAAAATCATAGATGGGTATAGCCTAAGATATAGCCTAAGATTAGTAAGTTAAAAATTTACCTTCTTGAAGAAACAGAAATAGTACCAGTAGCAAAGATTTCTAAAACCACTTCATCTTGTTCTATTTCCCAGTCATAAGGATCATTATCTTTAACTCCTCTTGTTTGCTTACATTTTTCAAACATTGAATTTAGTTCATCATAATGTGGCTTGTCAAAATATGTTAAAGATGACAGTTCCTCAAGGAAGAAATCATAATCATCTGGCATTCTGTGAATTAGGTGATGGTGGTCAAAACATTCTTTCATTGCACCAACCTACCAAAAAATTCCACTGAAGTTAACACAGCAATTGAGATGTAGCATGTAACAGGTCAACAGTTGGTTAAAGAATAAAAATATAACAATCTTGTATGGATCAAATTAACAGACCTACTATTTTAGAAGCAGCTATTAATTGATCTTAGATCACGTTTCCATAAGATCCAAATACCAATACATACTTCTTTTATGATGCAAGTCTAAACTGCCTTTAATTGAGAGAAATTTTCCAACTTTTCTTGCTTCAGGGCAGACATTATGAAAATGTTTAACAGCTATGTTTATACAATCAAAATATGAGTGACTGTTTAAAAAACTGATTGTCCTTTAAAAACTAGTATGCTTAATGCATAGTAATAGGTATTTTGAAGATGGAACAAATTAAATTAAATAAAATGCCATGGTTTTTATTTTTACATAAAATAAAAAATAACTGAAAAAAACAACATAAAAGCTGAAATAATGATTACAAAGTAAGAAAATATAGTTAAAAAGAGACAAAATATAAAAGCACAACATATGAATTTATTTATCAATTTCTCTTGAACAGTAAAAGATGTTAAAATACTCTGAAAACTAATCACATTTAGGTTAATTTATTCATAATAGCAAGGCACACAAAGGCTATCTTCCTCAGAAAGGCCTTTGTGAATAGCATTCTAAAGGCTTGTAGATAACATACTAAAAACTACTGCAATGCACATATGGAAAATCATGAAAACTATTCTGCTACTATGATCACATCCAGAGGCATTATCTAATCAGTAAACATAGGACTTGACTAACAATACACATACTACATAGCAATCCTCGCTTAACAAACTATATTTAACAAATCCAGTAACTATAAGAAACTGGTTAAAACAGTATTTTCACTGAATGGCAAATCAATCCTTAAGTATTTTTCATACAATAGTTTCAGAAGATTCTTTTGGCGAATCAGATGATACAGTTCAAAAGGAGTAAAAAGAAGTAATCGGGTGAGAATTTTTTAATTGGCCTTCATTTTACCTCTTACATTTTTTTCCCAAAAATTGTTCTTATCACCAAAAGATACAAATCATGAAGTACAGAGTTTGTCTAACAACTAGGCAGAAAGAGCTGCAGCTAAAATTTGTCGAAGAATATCCTGATATCAAGAGGCTACAAAATTATAATCTTTTACCTATGAAAGTAAGAAAAATCTGTAGATGCAGGTCATAAATATATTAAATTCTTTCAGTCTTAGTACATTTAACACTGTACAGACAGAAGAATGCACAAAAGAATGGCATACAGTTTAACATTCCTGAATATATAATAAGTAAAAAAACAAAATAAATTATGGGTACGGCAAACTTTTAAACTGAACAGAAATTAAGGCAGCAGATATTATTTGAATTATGCATGCAGAAATTGTATGAATTCAAATTATCTGTTTTTTATACGCAAAATGATGCAAGCTCTTTTAGCTGAGATTTTGATCATACTAATTATATTTGAAGTATATTTCTATATTAATTAAAAAGATTAAACAGAGAAAGTTTAGGTTAGGTTAACAGTAAAAAGGTTATTTGAATATGGCAAAACCAAGATGGCTATCTGCCTTTAAACAGAGAGAGAAAGTCAAATGGTGGAAAATAAACATACCTTAAATTAAAATAAATTTTTAGTATGACAAATGCACAAAAGCTCGATAAATTTAAAAGACAGAAATAAACATATGTGGAAAGTCTGAAATGTAAAAGAAAACAAAACTTATGGGAAAATAACATTTCAACAAAAAAACTAATGGACAATTTTCATATAAATGATAGCTTTTGACAGCAATAATCAATATATTTTGACAGCATATAAGAGAGCATTTGATCACACTATTTCGACAGCAATAATGATAGCAAATCATCGCTGATTTGGATAACGGACAACAAAAAACAAGTACCAATTTCAATCTCACAAACGTTTGTTTCAACAGCAACCATGCAGAATCAATGAGCCAAGTACACAAAAAATTTACAATAATAGGAAAAAAGGCCTTTAAGGACATAGGGCAAAAAATTCCTGTGACATACTAAAATGCAAGATAATTCAGAATTTCATGGAATAAATGATGTAATATTAGGAACAGATGAAAAAGTTATGATACACAAAATTAAATTTAGCAGGGAATATGGCTGTCTAGTTTTCTTGCATCCCCATAGTATTAAAATCAGTACACACATTTTAAAGTATGAAGAATTATTTAGAACCATTCATATTTTAGAGTATATTTACAACATTAGATAGATATGAAAAATATTTAAGCATGAAAAATTTTGAGTGTAACATTTAGAATGCTAACTTATGCATCAAATAATCATGAAATATCAACCATAACTGTTACATAAAGTGGTAAACTACACTTTTTAATACATACAACCTAAACAAAAATTTATATATAAATTGTCTAAAAGGAAATTTACATACAATATACAAGGTGGTTATAAAATAATGTGAGGTATTCAGAGCTCTCTAGAGAGTAAAGTAAAGAAAGAAATGTACAATATAAAAGAAATTTGATAAGCGTACATAGTGGATCATGGGATTTTGATTTGTTAAAGGGGGGAGGTACCAAATTTGCCACCAGGAGAAATGCTGGCACTGCAGAAATGTATCAGTGTGAATAATGAAAGACACAGCACACGGCATGAATAAAATAAAAATACAGGAATTTGGGCAGAAAACCTGTCTACTTTGTCAGTTGGTTCTAGAATGGTCAGCAGATGCTGGAATGGACAGCCTTAAAAACGGGTTTTTAGAACTAAAACAAATAGTAGAGCAAAAAATAGGAAGTTTTAATTGAAATTACTAAATAAAGTTGAACTACATCTTTGGAACAATAGCAATGAGAAAAGCAATCGCCTAATGACATCAATACTCACTGCAAATTTAATTAACTAAAATTTATTAACTAAATTATATATTATTATTAGTTTCCTTTTTTAATATATTTTAACGCTTCCCCTTGCCAATAAAAATGAACAATAATAAACTAGAGGAAAAAGTCATGAGAGTCCCATCTTAGCACAAAATCAATATCAATGTGTTTGATATCAATGTGTTTTGTACATAAATGAAACTTAGGATTTTGAGACAGTCTTACTGCAACAATGTTATTTACATGAATTACTGGAACTTTATTGGTAACATCACTAAATAAACATTTTAACCAAATTACTTCTCTAAGAGCATTCACTAGCTGCAATTATCTCTGCTTCAGTCATCAAAGTTGCAACAACCGACTGTCTTTGGCTAATCCACGATATAGTTCCACTGCTATATAATAGCACTGTATCATATTGTAGATTTCCATTTCTTGACATCCTTCAAATCTGCATTACTATAACACTCCAATACTCCTGGTTGGTATTTATTTTTGCATGTAACACCTTTAGTAAGACAACCTGCTATGTATCTGAATGCATGTTTCACTTTGATCCAGTCCTCTTTCGATGGACTTCCAAGGTGACATGAAAGAATACTAATACAGTTAAGCTAAATCTAGTCTCAAAAAACCTAACATAAGATACTGTTGCAAAAGTCCCAGCTGTGGTAAGATAGCTTCCCCACAAAGTAGGGTTAGGATGGTCAAAAAGTGGCAGGGAAAGGCAAGGTTGCCAGATTTGGCAGGAAATTGCCAATTTGGCGATATGCCGTAAACGAAGCCAGGATATTCTAAAATGTCTTCTTAGCATTTTTCCCAAGAATATTCTTGAAGGTAGATTAAAGCTATATATATACCCTACTTGTACAAGTAGTTTAGTAAGAGTGACTTGAATTCAAAGATTAACTTGAGAGCGACTGACTGAGTTGAGAGCTATACTTTAGTGCTTTGCCACGAAGCTGTCTTCACTCTTATTACCTGAAGACTGTGTTGCTGACTGCTTCAGCGTGTTTATCATAGTTTTTTTTTAATAACTGCAAGCATGTTTTTGGAACTGTCCTGTTTAATAGTGCTTACTGGCAAATAAATTGTGATTTGGTTCTTCATCAAAAGTTACCATCAATTACTGCAAATGCCCGAATCCATAGAACGAAACAATACACTAAAGCTCCTACAATTTCTTTATAAGGGAAAATTTCTGTGCTTGGCTTATCTTCCTCTTCCCTTTGAGTTAAACTTTTCTTCAGGATAGGAGTTGACACCCTTAGAGTCTTCCATTCCAAATTTTGTTTGCAGTCTTCCATTCCAAATTTTTTAACATTTTTTTTTTTCATAAACTTGCTGACTAATTTTAATACTTCCATCTTCAAGATGCTTAATGTCAAGTCCAAGAAAGTATACTGCTGGTTTAGTTTTGATTTTGAATATTGACTTCAGTCCTCTGAGAAATTTTTGAAATTCTTGTAGATCTGATATTGCTATCAAACCATCATCTACAGATAAGCATATGATTAGCTTCTTGCTATTTTTGTTTTTTATATATATGCATAGATCTGCTTCACTTTTTTTGAAGCCAAGTTATTACACAAAGTATCCAAAATATTTATTCCAACCATGTGATGCTTGTTTTAGTCCATATAAACTGCATCTCAGCTTACAGACTTTGTCAGACCTATCACTATATCCTTCTGGTTGCTGCATATATATGGTTTCTTCAAGTGTTTCACATAAGAATGCTGAATAGACATCAAACTGAGGAAGAGGCATTTTCTCGTTGTTTTCAAAATTGAGAATTGAATTCAGGAAATGAACAGTTTCCAACTTTATTACTGGATTAAACGTTTGATTGCAATTAATTACACTTTGGCAATGAGTCTAGCCTTGAATTTATCAATAGATCCATCAGGATTCTTTTTGATCTTACAAACCCGTTTGCATGATATAACTTTAGCATCTTTTGGTAATTTTTCTTAAATCTATGTGTCATTTTTCATCAGTTATGTCATCTCAAAATCCATAACTTCTTTCCAATGTACACATTTCTTACAGTTGATCACGTCTTCATAAGAGCCAGGCTCTTCAGAATTGGCAACAA